AAATGCTTAGTGTATGTTAGTCTTTATTAGTTTGTGTGCCTCAGCTTGGGCATGTTACCCAATATACACAAGGTGCTTGACACTGCTTGTTGAGTGAATGAGTGAATACCTATGTGCAAGCAAAAAAAAGATGAGCCAGCATTAATGGGACTAAGTTCAGCTGAATTTCTTGACTGTTCTGGGACAGCGATGGGGTAGGAGAGAGACCTTTGGGCTATCGGTTGAGTTTGGTCAGTAGATTGGGAATTGGGACAGGCATTTTGCAGCTGTGAAAGATGACTTCCATAGGAAAATGGCAAGAGTTGGGTTATGTTATGTGTGGTATAAAAGGTCTGCCAGACTGGTATAACCTCCATGACTGTGTTTTGGTCTGTGCCAACTATCATAACATGAGAGAGGACCCCAGAGATTTGTGGACAGAATGTTAGCAAATGGTAGCTTCTGGGTGATTACAGAAATGGGTCTCAGTCAAGACTACCCAAAGTAATCTAGAGATTCAAAGCAATCTCTATCAGAACTCTAGTGATTTTTTTTTGCAGACACAGAAATATTCATTCTAAAATTCAAAAAGGAACAAAATGGGAGGATTCACACTTTCTGATTTGAAAACTTACTACAAAGCTACAGTAATCAAAAGTGTAGTGCTACATAAAGGCAGATATAGTCAATGGAATAGAATAGAGAGCCAAGAAATAAACCCACAGCTATATGGCCAAAGGATTTTCAATAAGATGCCAAGATACACACATGCAAAAGATACAAAAATTAACTCAAAAAGTGAATCAAAGACCTATGGGTAATAACTATAGACTCTTAGAAGAAAATATTGTGGAAAAGCTTCATAGCATCGGATTTGATGATGATTTCTTGCACGTGCAACAAAAGAAAAAAACGGATGAATTGAACTTCATTAAAATTAAAAACATTCATCTATTTTTGGGCATTGGATCAAGAAGATGTGGTCCATATACACAATGGAATATTACTCAGCAATCAAAAAAGATAAACACATGCAGTTTGCAGCAACATGGATGGAGCTAGAAGGGATCATGCTCAGCGAAATAAGCCAGAAAGAAAAATAAAAATACCAGATGGTCTCACTCATAGCAGGAATTTAGAAAACCTAAATAAGAGATCAGGAAAAAGACTAATCAATACAAAGTAAAAATCAAAATCAACAAGCAACTATAAACCAGAGACACAGTACGGGGCGTGGGGGGAGGGAGGTGCGGGGAAAGGAAGGAGTAGAGTCAAAATAAGGGGGGGTGCAATTGTATGGGGAATATAACCAAAATGAAAATGCTTACATTGTGCAAAGATGAAAAAAGATGTAAGAATTATATAAAATAAAATATTTAAATAAAAAGGCAAAAAAAAAACCAAATAAAACTAAAAACATGTATGAATAAAAGAAAAAGAGCCACCAAGTGAAAAGGCAACCCACAGAATGGGTGACAGTATTTGCAATTCATTTAAGGAGTTAAAATCCCAGAATATATCGAAAATACCTAATGCTCAACATCAATTAAAAAAACAACACAACTCAAAAACGAACAAAGGACTTGAATAGGTATTTCTCCAAAAAAGATATCAAATGGCCAATGAGCACAAGAAAAGATTCTCAACCTCATTAATGACTAGAAAAATGCCAATTAAAGGCACAAAATACCACTTCACTCACCATAGGACACCGACCATCAAAATCACAACATAAAACAAATGAACAAGTACTGGAGAGGATGTTGAAAAATTGGAAACTTTATACGCTGCTCCTGGGAATGTAAAATGGCGCAGCCATTAAGGCATCAGCATGGAGCTTCCTCAAATGTTGAAAATAGAACTGCCATGTGACCTAGCAATTCCACTTCTGTGTATAGACTCAAAAGAATTGAAAGCAGGGACATGAAAAGGTATTTGTACAACCACATTCTTAGTCGCGTTATTCTCAATAGCCAAAAGAAAAAGGCGTCTTGCTTGTCCATGGACAGGTGAATGGCAAACAAAATGTAGGAGATATAGACACGGAAAGATGAACCTTTAAAAGGAAGGAAATTCTGACGCATGATAGCAACCTCGAGGGCATTATGCTAAGTGAAATAATCCAGACACAAAAGGACAAATATATGATTCCATTCATATGAGCTACCCAGAGTAATCAAATTCACAGAGACAGAAAATAGGATGATGGTTGCCAGGGGCTGGAGAGCGGAATGGGAGTTGCTGTTTTGTGGGGATGGATTTTCAGTTTTGCGAGATGAAAAAAGTTCTGTGCCGACGGGCAAGATGATTGTACAACAATGTGCGTGTATTTAAAGCCACTGAAGTGTAAACTTAAAAATGGTTAAATGGTAAATTGTCGGATATATAATGTACCACCATTTTAAAAACAGCAAAGAGCAGACTAAGCTGGCAAAGCTCAGAAGAGCAAAGGATTGGGTCCCTGCAAAGGTGGATGAAGAGAGATGTGTGACTCAAGTTACGTTTAAGTGCTTTGGTTGAGTCTGTTACGAAGACTCATTTTATGAAGTCCTTGATTGATCTGTTTTTGTCCATCAGCATTTTCATAGATCAGCTGTGCTGGAACCCAGCTCCATTATTATTCAGATCACTTTCCTTTCCTTAGAACTCTACATGCTAATGATTCCTGGACAACCTCTCTCTGAGACTCTCCTTGTCTGCTTGTACCTGCGTGGTGGTGTCAGCCTCCTGTCTGCACGCCCCATTCTGGTGTGTAAGCTTCCTATAAATTAGCATCTCCTGCCCGACCTCTCTGCCAGCTGCATCATGAACTGTAGCTGTCTGCTTGCAGCCATCCGGTATCTCAAACCCAGTTTGGTCCAAGCCAGCCTCATGATTTTAACTTGTTCTGCTGAATTTCTGGTTTCTGCAGAAGGCACCATCATTTTTTCGGTGCCTCGAGTGTAAAAACATACAAAATGTTTGAATCCCCCTTTCTGCTCCCCCTCTGCTGGGTCTGCACAGCTGACAGCCCTGTTGCATTGTCTGCCCGTGGTCCCCACACCCTAGAGGAGCCCCCTTGTCTCGCCTTGCAGTGACCGCCTGGCTCAGCCCTGCATCCCTCTTGTGTGGACCACCGCGGTTGCCCACTGGTTTCCTCGCAGCCAGCCTCTCCTCAGGGCCAAGTGCAGCGATGAAACGTCCAGAGGAAAAGCAGGAAGAGGCAGCCCTGGTCCCTGCACTTGGACTCAGACATCTGGACAGGCTCACCTCAAGGAGAAGGGGACACAGCGCCGATCATGAAGTCCTGAGTGGCTTCTGGCTGAGAAACCATCCGTGGAGGTGGGGATTGGTAAGTGGATGGGGAGTGACTGCTAGCTTGACTCTGGAAGCCAGGCAGAAACCGGCCACAGTGGAGAGGGGAGGGGCAGTTCACCCGGTCAGGGGTGACAAATGTCAGGCAAGGCCAGGTCTGCAGCCTGGTGGGGTGGGGCTCCGGGGGTGGGAGGGAAGGACTCCTTGGGCCTGCCCGGGCGAGCAAGACAGCAGTCACCCTCAGGGGGGTTATAGTGCCCCCTGGGTTCAGGGTGCTTGGCAGCTGTGGGAAGTCCTCTGCTCTGGGCCTTCACCTGTAGGGACTCCTCAACTTCCACACCCTCAAACCCTGACCTCCTTAGAGTACCTAGATCAGATGCCCCTTCTTTCTTGAAGCTGTCACGCATTCTGCCAAGCTGTGATACTCTTTCTCCACCGTCTGTAGGCTTTTCACTCATCTCCCTAACCACACTTTCCACATTCTACCCTGAACTGTAGCGACTTAACTTGCCAGTTTACTAGACTATAACTTTTGGGGGGTGGGGGAGATTCAGGTCTGAGGCTAGCACAGTTGTGTGGCTCAGTCTATAGTCCTTGATTTCACTCTACGCAAATAGAAGTTTCTCTTTATTCATTTCTTTGAATCAGCCATTCCAGTAGCTATCACCCTCCTGAGTTCTGAGTTCCCTTGGTCTTCCCAAGGCTGCTAACCAAACATTTCTAGTTATTCTCCCTTCCCCTGCACCCCAGGCACTTGAACCCCTTCTGTTTTTGGAGACCATGTGAATATTCCCCAGGAAATGAGCTGTGAAGGGAAGAGATGTGTGACACTTCCAGGCCAGGGCACCGAGGCCAGTGGGAGGCGCTCGGGAGTTCATTTCCTGGTGCATGACAACTCGTGTCATTGAAACTGTTGGCCGCTCTGACATCTTGAGCACCCTTGAATAAACTCAAAGAGTAGAGGCCTCTGTGTTGACCTGTGATGGGCACCTGGCATGAATGAGAAATAAGCCACTGGAACCTGAAGGCTGTGATTGCTGCACGCCCCAGCCCAACCACCAGAGATGTTTGCCCCGACAGCATCACCAGGCCTGCCTGCACTGGGTGGCTGGCAGGAGGGCAGAACCAGGGGCAGTGGCAACCTCAGCCAGCAGAGCACTTCTCTCAGGCATTCAGCTCCCCCGGTGGCCTCTCACTCTGGAGTGCCAGTAATTAGGTGCACAAGTGCAAGACAGCAGTGCCTTCCGCTCTGCTCTCTATGGGCTGCCGTCTAAATTAATTATAAAACTCAGGGGTGAGCAGAGAAGATATTCTATTAAGTTAGAACATCCTTTTACATTTGAGTCTGCAGTAGGGTTTTCTCATCACTCTGCCAGGTTGTGTTTTATGAGAGCAGGATTCCTCTTGGGAGAAAGCGTCACACACCCTAGGTACAAGGGAGAAGCTTCGGCATCAGGAGGGGCTGCTGGCCGAGCTGAACAGCAGAGGAGCAATTGAACAAAGCACAGGTAGATTCCAGTCTTAGGGGGTCTGCAGGCTTTCACTGGGTAGAATAAAAAACAAGCCCTTCTGCTACACCTCTGATTGAAAGGAAGTGGTTATATGAGATAAAGATTAAAAAATAAAAGCTGTGCAGGAGTGTGTGTGTGTGTGTGTGTGTGTGTGTGTATGTGCACGTGCGCACTGTTTAACCTCAGGAACACACAATGACAAGAGATATGGGCAAGAGACAGATTTAATTGAATAAAAACTCCAGGCTGTGACAGGGGCGGGAAGACACAGAGCAGTAATTAACAACATAATTTTTTAAATGACGATGCAATTAATTAACATCTTGAGTATGTGAGGGGTGGGGGAGAGGGAATCTTTCAGCCCAGAAACACTGCTAAATAAAGGACAAGGGAACTTTGCATTAAAAAAAGAAATCTATGTGCAAAATGCCCTGGTTTTTGCAACTTCACCAAAGCTCACAATAGCAACCCAAGCGGTTTCTCCCTAGCAGAAGACATTAAAAATGAGTCAACCTTGGATATCATTTTATGCTGAACTTCTAATTCCTTTTGTTCTCACGTGCGAAGGAGAGATGTCGGACTAGATATTGAAGTTGGCAGACATTCATGTTCCATTCCTGCTTCAGGTTGAGGACTTTCTCCCCAGAGGATGCCTGGGGTGGGGGTCCAGGAGCCGACAGAACCCTGGGTAAGCTGCTGCGCCTGGAGAAATGTACCCAGAGGACTAGAGTTGGCGTAGTAGCAGTTGGTTAGGGTGGTGTGGGGCTGACCATAATCTGCTCAGAAAATATTCTCCAAAACCGTCAGGGGCTCTCCTGCATGGGACAGCGGCTCGGAACCGAGGAACGGCGGGAACAACGGCTAGTTTATGGCGCAAGAGGAGCGAACTCCCTGCTCCAGAAGCATAGAGATGCACTTCCGACTACGGGTTTGAAGGTGAGGTGACCGCTGGCCATGGAGACTGAGCTCACTTTTGGAAAGACCCCTCACCCCTCACTTTCTGGCCCTGGAAATTCGTTACAGGACCCACAGCATCTGCTCAGTGATTGAGACCAACTCAAGTGGCTCAGTCTGGAGTTAAGAAACAGAAGGAGGTTTATGGCCTGCCAGGAGACTTGCCATGGCCTTGTGTTTGTCTTCCTCTCAAGAGCACATCCAGCTGTTAGGCTGTGCGTCTGCCTGACTAGGAAGGGTTATCACTCACAACACATCTGGCGAGAAAATCTTTATACCAATGACACCTTAGTACCTGGACTGGCCTATGGTTCAGTCCAGGGTGGAATTTGGTTTATCTACATTTCCTTTTCTAGGCCGAAAACATCTTTTGCAACGATAACCACATACCTTATGCCCAGTCTGGTCATTTTTAGAACTAGAAAACTCCCTAAAGTTTCATCAGCAGAAAAACCTGGTAACTCAGCTGAAAACGAGGGAGACTTATTGAGTTGCTGTCCCTAAAGCAGATGACATATATAAAGAGTAAGACACACGGCGTGTGGATAGCTTTTACGTTCTCGGCCTTCCATCAGCAAGAAGGCCTTCTTCAGCACATTCACCTCTTGCAAGTCCTACCCACAACTCTGGAAATCGACAAGGTGTCATCTCAAGTTGAAGTGGAAACTCCACGCATTTACCAGGGCAAGAAAAACTAAGATTGAGCAAATCAACCTAATTATAGGGGGTTGGTGGGGAGGTCACTATCAATTCAACATAAGTATAATATTACAATACAGAAAAGTTGAACATTTTTTTTTCCTAAACTGAATTTGGCTAAGGTAGAGTTCTAAAGGGAAAAAAAAAAACAAAAAACCTTCACTACCACTGAAACAAACAACACTGAAGTACTTAGTAATTTATAGAACTAAAGTTTAAGATGAATATTGTCCCAGTGTCCAGGGGGCTGTAATAGGCTTAAGCTGACTCAGCATCCATCAACAAAACACTCGCGTGGAAAGATGGACTCCAACCATCACTGGGGTTTCAAGACTCCCCATTCAGGAAAGCACATTTTATCTCAGTTTTGCTTTGATCTATTTAGGCTTTTTAAACAGCTGCTTGGTACTTCGTGGGATTATAAAGCTATGTATAATGCAGAAATCACTCTCCAACATATGTGCCTCCTTTCTTTACAGTGAAGATTATTTTTGAGAACAAAGACCCTATTTTCAAACAAATGTGGTCATTAGCTGTGGCACGCCAGAAAACATATGGCAAGTTTCCTTTCTGCAGAATTGTTCCTAAAGACAGTGACTGCGCTCCCTTGAGGGAGCTACATTTTCAATTAGTGAAGGATAATGAGGAAGGGGCTAGTGAGGAGCCCTCCATAGCCAGCTGAAGAGTCCAGACACCGCAGAGCCCCCCACCCACATCCATATGGGACCAGAAGTCCTCATCTTGACATAGGTCACATCAGCAAAGAGTTTCCAAAAATCACAATTCACCTTTAAAGTCTTAACTAATGTCTTTACGGTCTTCCGCTGGCTGACGTTGTTCCTGCCCACACAGAAAGCGCAGCCCTGCTTCCATGGTCCTTCTGGGTGGGGGAGCTTGGTGGAGACACAAAACGTCAGAAACTCAAACCACCTCCCCCCAGAGACGACTATTTTACATTGTGTTTTCTAGAACCGACCTCTGGGCTCTCCACGCTTCATCTTTTGTTCATCATTTCTTGACAGCAGATCCGTAGAAAGTGAAAACCACAAAAAACATCACCTTGGGAGACAGAAAAAAACGAAGACAGATCTGACCACGTGACAGGTGTCTTGGCCTTGACCTACATGGAGCGGTGAGGACTCACTCGGGGAGACCGCCCTGGCTGCCGCTCCGCTCAGCGCTGTGTAGACGGTTGAACGAGTGCAAAATGAACGCTGCTGAGTCCCGTTGGTGTCGCTCGGCCGTGCAGCTCATGGTGTCGGAGGTGGTTTCGGACATGGGCCCGAGCTCTCGCTGTCGAAGCTGGCGGCTCGGCCCTGCCACTGCGGAGAGGAGAGAAAGTGGTTATCGTGGGCTGGGGGGGCTGTTCCAACTTCCGAAACTTATCAGCCCATGCACTGAAGTCACTTTTCCCAGCTTCTTCAAGCCTTCATGATTTTTGCGGTTGGCCATGCAAAAACATAAGGAAAACAGCTTTAGAGCTTCTAGCTTGGGATACCTGACTAAAAAAATAAACAAAAAACAAAAAACAAAAACAACCTACTGCAGAGATAATTAAAGCTTTCCTCACTGTGCAGCGTGTACATGGGTGTGTGTGCATGTGTGTGCGTGCATGTGCGCGCGTGTGTGTGTGATTTAATGAAGTGCACTGAGTGTACCCTCTCTGAGTGCTTCAGCCATTTTTCACATGGAAATCAGATTATGTTAGCAGCGAAAGAGGCAGTCTGCAGAGTCTGCCAAGAACCCACGATCATGAATTATTAGCAATTTGTCTGGGAGCCGTTCGAACAGCTAAAACGCTGCTATTGCTTTAGCAGTGAGCGCTCTTCTTCGGTCCTAGAGCTCCCGAGGGTTTTCACACCACCTGGTGAGAACTGGAAGGTCAGCAGGTAGCAGCCCAACCCCCTTTCTTCTCCACCTTGCTTCTCCTCAGCTCTCCACTCTCACAGGTTGCCTCCTCTCAGGCCAGCCCTCACCCCTGGGTGGAAGCGGTGGTGGGACGAGGTCTGATGGGGTGAAGGAGAGGCCGAGGATGGTGGCTCTTGGCTTGAGCCTTTCAACCCTCCTTTAGATGGAAGAACCAGTCGGAGCTGGACAAGGATCTGACCCTGTGGCTATTCTTGACCTGTCTGGGCTGTGTGATTTCCCAGTGAGTCGGTGGTCACTGCTTGCTCCTTTTGTGAGCTGAGGAGAACCAACCCTCTCCTAGGAGCCTCAGGCCCAAGGCTCCGAGAGAGAGGCCAAGCTGCTGGCCGTTCTGAGCCTGGCATGGAGCTCTTCTCAGGAGCTCCAGGGGTCTCCAGTGTGCAGTGGGGCAGGGAGGGGAGGGGGGCCAGTAGGAGTTGCAGCTGAGTTTGTGCCTACATGGTGGTGGGGTGAGGAAGGACCCTGGTCCCCCTCAGCAAAGCCATCTCTAGACAAGGCTGACCTGCCTCAGGAATAGACCATTTGTCACCCAACACCTCCTATGGGGTGGGGGGACACACCCACTGGTGGAAGGAGACCCAGGCCTGCTGAGCTACCTGCACACTCCCAGCTCTAGAGGAAGCCCCTGTCATCCTCCCCCTGGCTTTGTTCTCCACAGCCCCTTGGTGTCGTCCTCCACAGGCTGCCTGAGGGCCTCTGTGAAAGCAAGAGCTGGACAATCAGGGCAGACCACTGTCACACGACCCCGGGCTGAGCCATCTCTGCATGCTAGACCTGGGGGTGGGGGGATCACCCCGCCGAGCTCTCCTGCTCTTGCAGGCAAAGAAACAGACAGAGCAGGCAAAAGGCCCCGCTAGCCGGGGCAGAGACAGGGTCCAGAGCTGGGCCTCCTGGATGCAACTCAGAGCCCTTCCACTCACCCTGCTGCTGTCACAGCATCTGCCACACTGCGGGGAAGGACACAAAAAGATGTAAGAAGAAGCCTAACCTCTTTGGGTCCACACCAGGTACTTACTCCTAACTCCGGGTGGCAGTCTCTCTGCTGGCAGCATCCACGTGAATGAAATCACAACCGAGGGTTTCCCTGGTGAAATATTTTAGATAAATAAGTGCCTGGTCATCAAGCCCACGCTGAACTTCTGACTCCAGTGTTTCTTAACCAGAAGGTGACACAGTGATTACGAGTACTTTCATTGAACAGACCTTCCTTGGAGAGGTCCTGCTTCTCCTGTTACAGCTTGGATGTTGGGGAGAGTCACACTGTGTGACGGGCTCCTTGCTGGGGTAAGTGTGCCATCGCTCTATGATGGCAAGGTCACGCCAGAAGAGAAATGCAGTGGCTACACATGGTACCTCTTTTGCTCTAATAGCCCAAAAAGGAAGTCACATGGAGCATCATTGTTTACCCAGACAAATGAAGAAGACACACTCGCTCCCCAGCGAGCCCTGACTTCTCCGATGCAGATAAACACAGGGGGGACTGGGGCTCGCGGACAATGAGGTGAATGGCTCCGGCCGCCTAGGAAGCCCAAAACAGCAAGAACCGGCCCCCTGCGCACAGGAAGAGAATTGTTCCGAGGTGGCTGTGCTCCAGTCAGAACTTCCATTGTCCTGCTATGGGCACATTCCAGCAGAGCGCTACAGTCTCTGGCAGGTGATCTGAACTTGGCCCTTCATAACAGAACGGCTGGAGAAGGTCACTGGCCAACCTGTGCTGTGTGTGTAACAGAGAGGATACGCAGCACCAGGCAGGGCTGCCCTGGGGGGGCAGGGGTCGTGGGGTGCCGCTGGGGAGGGATACTTGCTATGGCTCCATCAATTTTTTTATTCATGAAAAAAACCCAGCAAGAAAAAAACCTTATCTGTTCATTGGTTCCTCTCGACATTATTTTAAACCCCCAAACAAGCAAGCAGTGAAGGTGCCCTCTGTCCTCATTAATAAAATGGCAGTGATCACAGCACTTGAACCTCTCAGAAAGGCGCCAGATAGACACAGCGCTTTACAGATCTGGTGGCGTTTGTCTCCCACGAGCTGGAGTACACAGTTTCTTGACGTATTGAACAAATGGGAGAAACAAGTTCCAGGAGCAAGTCTCTTGCTCAGTGTCCAGAACAGGACTGAAAAGAAGTCAGGATGTGAGCCGTAAAGAAAGTGGAGATGATAAACGTGCATGTACAAAGCACCCCAGGAATGCCAAGGGTGTTTATTTAATAGCAGCCCGGTGCATTTTTAGATGCATTTTAATAAAGATACTCAAACTGTGATGTTTAAAAAGGTATACAAATTGGTATTGATGAAATCCTGAGTTGCTGAGGCAAGTGTCACGTTCAGCTCCTCATGGAGAAATGATCAGCTGAGCAGAGAAAGGTAGGACAAGGGCCCGGGGTGGGGTGAGGGTGGTCAGGGAGGACAGGCAGCCTCACAGCTCAGCTGCCAGGTCAAGAAAAAGTAAACCCAAAGGATATGAATCAATTTATTCTCTTTTCGTTTTCCATATACTGTTACTTTCCCTTTACTGTCTCATCAAATATTCATTTTCAAGGGCTTGATTCTACTCTATCTTCTTTCTTTTGTAGTCCAGACTAGGGAGTGGGACTTCTCAAAGAAACAAGACTTAGAATCAATTATTTGGCTTCATGAGGCTGTGTTCATCATGGAGAGCAACTCTGGGCCCAGCCCCAGCACTTCCGTGGCACCCCACACCCCAACCCTAGCCGCTGCTCGTTCTCTATGCCCAGTTTGCAAGCACAGGCCCAGCCTGGTACCAGTGATGGGTTCTTACAGGTTCAAGATTACAGAGCAATGCAAGAGGGGGCTCGCCTGCCCGGATGTCTTTTAGAGTCAGTGCTTTGTGGAAAGGCAGAGGTAGGAAGGGCCTATGACTCCATTTCCTGCTTGGGCAGTGCTTGCCAGGGGTCCCGCAGGCCATCGAGGCCTATTAGTTCCCATCCCATGCCCCGTCCTTAAATCATCCCAAGAATTTTAGTGTACTGATTTTATTCTTAACATCTCCAGAGATTTTAAAAAGCAGGAAGAATTTGGGGCCCTCCCTGGCCTGAGTCAACCCTGCACTGGGTGAGGTGCAGGGAGCTCCAGATAGCCTCAGACTCCCCCCAGTAGCGGCCTCCCAGGTAGCTGGGGCTGGTGGTGGGACCCCACCCACTCTCTGCGGACAGGGCCTCTGGGAACCAGGGGCCTCGGTGGGGAGGAGCACCTGAGCGCAGAGGCAGTAAAATCCCACAGTGGTGGGAAAATCACAAGATAGGAACAAGAGGTCTCTGGCGGCCAGGAGCTTGGTGTCTGCTCACTCCTCTCTGCTGGCCTCAAAGGCACAGGCTACCTGGGAGTAAATCAATTATTCTGGCTTCCTGGAGGCATCTGTCTCCTAAGGGATCCCCTGCATCCAGTCCCCTCAGCCCTGTTCTCCTGAGATCTCTCTCCCGGTGGAAGTGGGTGGAGGTGGTTTGTCCACCGTGAGAAGGAGCGGGGGTCCGGCAGGCCGTCTAGATTGCTGCCCCACGTTTTCTGGATGGCAGGGCATAGGGAGGAGATGTTTGTTTTAAAGGCATCTCTGCTTTTAAGTTTGGGGACTCTGTGGTGGAAGGGATCAAGTTTTATTTTTTTACTAGTACATTTTCCAATTTTATACAGACTTCCTAAGCTTGACCCCTATTAGGATGAGTGAATCACCTCACTTTCTAGGAGAAGTGTTGGGTTATGAAATATTCAACATGAAGTTTGAAGTTTGCCTGGTCAACATCCCAGCTCCTTTGAGAAAAAGTGGGCCTGGGACTACCCATGTGGTCAATGGCAGGCTCTGCAGTTGGAGGGGGCCGAGGGCGTGGGGCGGGCCGGAAGGGACGGGACGTTTTCTTTGCAGTTCTGAGAGAAATGACTGACTTGGGATGATACAGGAAGTGACAGGGGCCGAGACTGGGGCCCCAGCCTCCGGACTCCCAGGCCTTCACTCCTCCGGGAGCACCTGCCAGAAAGCGTGACACCTTCTCCAACAAAGGTGGGGACCAGCATTCTCGGGGGAGGCCTTGTTCCGAGATCGCCACGCAGGCAGTGAGCACTTTCCCGGAACTGCTGGCTGTGCACTCAGGGAACTGACTGCTTAACAGGGGCAGAATTTGCTGCCAACGTCTTATCTCACCCCTGTGGGGCTGTCTCCTAAAGGACTGACTTGGCCCAGGGGCTTTGTGAAAGCCTTCCGGGCCTGGCACTGTGGAGCTGCTGGGAAGGCTTCCTCCAAGCTTTTGTTTTCCATTTAGGACTTGGTGTTGCTTTCAGAGGCTTTTTGTCAGCTAGCTGCCTGCCATCCTTCTCCAGACCTCCACACTGTGGGAGAAGCCCCCAGGCGCCACCTCAGAAGGACCCGCCAAAGCTGGGGGCTTGCAGCCGCCAACTGCCATTCTCCAGCCCACGCCGCCATGCAGCACACATGCCAAGGCAAGCACGACCTCACCCACCTCTTTGAAGGATTTCTTTACCTCCACCAAGGAGTGCCAGTGTGCGATGGGCTTCCGTGGGTATGCCAGCATCTCGTTCCAGTGGTCCCTGCCCAGGCCTTCGGCGTTGATCCCCACACGACACACTCCTATGATCTCATTGTGGCCCACTCTGCGGGAGACACGAGGCCCCGGCACTGGCACCAGCACACCCTCAGAGAGGGCACTCAGGGCCTCGTCACTGGCACCAGCACACCCTCAGAGAGGGCGCTCAGGGGTCCCAGACTCTGCGGCAGGTCTGAGAGTGCTAAACTCTGGAAAGAGATGCCTGGCAGGTCCTCGGGTTGCCAGAGGCAGTGAAGCTTCGCCCAGCCTTCTTGGGTGAGTGTTGGACACAGACAGAGGAGCAAAGGCTTATAAACTTGTTTCGAATTTGAGGAAATGGTGGGCAGATGGCCTGACTTTAGGAAGGGAGAGAGTTTAAGTGTGTTTCCTTCCGTGACTCAGCGAGCATCACATCCCAGCTTGAGATGTGAGCATTTGGAAATAAATCACCCTGTTATGAGTACCATTCCTCCCTGCGCCCAGTGGCTGGGATGTGATTTATCCACTCAGTAAGAACATCAGTCATCACTCAAATATGTTCACCGAGCACCTACTACTGCCGAGAGATGTGTTAGAAATCCTGGACTGAGGCTTTACTGCATGGTTTCTTTCTCCTCCAGCTCAAGGGACAACTGGAGAAAAGAACTTCCACTGACTGGAGAAGTTGGAAGGTGCTTTTGGGCCTGGATTGGAAGAGCAGGGTTTGGATAATTAGAAGACAAGAAAGGAAGTAGAGGGCCTCCCCGGTGGCGCAGCGGTTGAGCGGTGGGCTGTGAAGCTGCCTGCAGCCTCTGCAGCGTCGGTTCGATCCCCGGCTGCCAGCGAGGGTCCCACATGGCGCGACAGACCCCTCCTGCCGCGTCCACTGCTCCCCTCAGCAGTGTATTTCGCCGGTCTGCCTCTTCTGCTCCCCGCTCTGGCTCTGGTGAATTCCCTCACCCTCCCGCACTTCTGACTGTACCCAGTGCTTGTATAAATAAATGAATAAAATCTTTAAGAAAAAGGATACATTTTTAAAAAAGAAAGACAGAAAGAAAGTAGAAATGAAGTCAGATGGATATGCTGGGTCCCGATTACGGAATATCTTGAGCATCTGGGGGAGAGCCTAGTGTAGGGTAAGTGAAAAAGCATCAGGCTTTTCTGCCCTCCCGCCATCAGGATAGAGGATGGATCCTTGCGGCCTGAATGCATGCCTGATGGCGGGCACCTGGAGTAGGGTGTGGGCATAGGTAGATGGGATTCACCTGGGCTAAGGCTGTGCTTATAAGGGCAGCGTCATGGGGATGCTGGAAGAGCAGAATGAACGGAAGAGCAGAGAGCAGAGAGAACGAGAGTGAAAGAGAGACCAAAAGAGGCCTGCCAGCCTCCCGGCCCCCCGGCACCCCTGCCTGCTGTGTACCCAGTAAAATCCCAATAAAAGCCTGAAAAGCCACTGACAGCTCCAGGACACCTCCTTTACTCCGTCTGCTCGGGTCATAGAGATCCTGCCCTGTGGCCTTCCTGCTACTACACCTGGACAATAGAAGCTGCGGATGGTTCTAGAGAGCAAGTCCAGGCCTTTGGGAAAGTGTGTCTTTGGTGTATCAGCTGGACTGAGGCAGGGGGTGATGAAGACAAGAGCCAGCTAGGAGGCTGCACCCACCATAAGGGAGAGTGGCAGCAGCAGCAGAAGTGGAGAGAACAGGGAAGGATTTTAAAGGACAGGTGGTGGGGCCTCCCAAGGGGTTAAGCACAGTGCTATGAAGGTATCCGCAGCCTCTGTAGCACAAGTTCGATGCCTGGCTGGCCAGGGAGCCACCCACATGGCCCAGCAGACCTCTCCTGTCTCACCCGCTGCTCCCCTCAGCAGTGAATTTCAGTCAGTCTGTCTGTTCTGCTCCCCACTCTGTCGCTGGTGAATCCTCTCACCCCCGCACCTCTGGCCTGTACCCCAGTTCTTGCATGCATAAATAAATCTTTAAAAAAATAAAGGACAGGTGGTGCCTTGGTGCCAAGCGGAGGAGCAGGAATAGGCAGGAGTGAACTCAGGGAAACTGACATCCCCTGATAGAGATGGGTCAGCTGGGAAGCAAAGCTTGACTCTTTGCCTGGGGGACACACACTCCCCCTCAAACCCCTGTATCCTTCTTAGGTGGAGGTAGAGTTGAGACTTCTGGACCCCTGAGCCCTGCACCACAAGGTCCCAGATCTAGAAGCTGCAAGGAGAGGGGGTGAGGGCAGGGAATGTGTCCCTCTGGGGCCCGGACGTACCGATCGTAATCCATGACCGAGATGAGCAGGCTGACTTGGTCCATGTTCTCCGGGGGGATGTCAAAGATGATGGCCTCGTTGTAGACCGGATTGAGCGTGTTCTTCTTTATGGTGGTTTTTTTCTTCTTCAGTCTTCGCCCGTCACAGAGCAGGGACACTTTGACATATGGATCTGCGCCAACGGGGGTGAGGGGAGGGAGCGGAGCTTGTTAAACAGATGTCCTCGCACATTATTTGCAGCGTGGGGATGGAAACCCTAGACCTGCTGCTGCTCATCAGATGGTATCGTGGGTTGTTCCAATAATTAAAACACCTTGTATTTATGTAGCACACCTGTCTCTGAGGACGCTCTGTGCTTAATAAACACAGAGTCTTTAGAGACCTCGGGATTCTTGGGAGAGCGCTTAATGGACTTCCACTAATAGGGAAGCTGGCCCCCCATCATTCAAGACACCTGCCCAAGGCTGGGCGGCTCACGGCCCGAAGCTCAGCTCCGCGAGGGCTGCCTCGCTCCAGAGGGCGGTGAAGCTGAACAAGACACTCTATTTCTTTCACCTACTTGGAGTCCTTTTGTCTGGGATTTGTCGGCACGATTAACCAAAGGATAAGGGGGTAAAAATAGAACTCCCTAATGCCCAAGGAGTGGCCATGTGTCAGAGCAATGAGCAGCGCCAATCACAATGGCTGTGTCCTCCCCACCTGACAATGTCCTCCCCACGAGCACGTCCATCCAGCACCCAAGGGGGAGCAGAGGCCCCTGGGGAGCCCTTTCCGGCACACTGCTGGGCGGCGGGGGAGGCGGAGGGGAGCGAGGCAGGGTCCGAAGATTCGGGGCAGCTGGTTGACATTTCGCTTCTCAGCGGGGTCTTGGATGCGCTCCACGCATGAGATGTCTGCGCTCAGCGACCAAGGGCCTCCCATCCTCGCTGCTTCTTTAGTGTCGGGAGCGGGTATTTCGTGGTCATCTTTCTACCCTGGAATTTTCTACTCACCCACGGGAGGTGACACCTATTGTGTCTCCTCCTCGCACAGGTGTCTTGGTCACATCTTAATTGTTATTTATGCCGCACAGTTCGAGAAACAGGAGGGCCACTCATGGCTAATAACAGCTTGGGAGACAGGGGTGTGCGGAGACACCTTCTTGGCCAGAAGCCAGGGCTCGTGTGGCTCTGCCAGGAGGCGCCGGCCCAAGCAGCCACTCCCACTCTCTGGCTCAGGCGTGGGCTCCCAAGCACCCCTAGGCCGTCACGCTCCCTGGGCATCGTTGGGGTGCAGGCGAGGCATAGGGCTTTGGGGAAGTTAGATCTGTGACACCTGACCAGAAACTCCATGCCTGGTAGGTGTTTTGTGGAGACCTAAAAGAGCCATTACTAACCATGTGACAATGGTGGCGACACCTTACCGAGGGGACACTCGGGTTTACAGGGGAGGCATGGAGGCAGGGGGTGCTTCATCAACCCGCTGTCTCTGGCTGTCTACTTCAATGGACCCTCTCTCAGGGGAATTTTCTCAGGAGGGAGTTCTGAGCACAGCCCTAGGCCGGCTTCCTGCAGCTCCAGCCCCTGCACATGTGCCTAGAGCAGTGCCCAGCTCTGCGCAGAGAGGGGGCAGAGCCAGCTCCAAGGCTCATCATTTAGGTGGCAACTTCTGAACTCCTTCAGGGTAGACTTTGCCCTGGAAAGAGTCCCCAGGCTTGCGGCTGCTCAAGGACTGCCTTGTCCCCTGCCATCCCTGCTTCCATCCATGCTCACAGCAGACCAAATTTCTACGTCACTGGGTTTGGGAAACTATAGCAGAGCCACCTGCCTCCTCAACTACCAGGCCTCATTACTGACTGAGGGATTCTCAGCTTCCTTCCCCAACTGTTTGCCCCTATGAGGCATATCCAGCCTTTAAAGCTCAGTAATATGTTCCTCACCAGAACCAATGAGCTCACCAGCGTCCCAGAGGCTAAGCAAATAGGTGACTGTTTTCTAGGGTTCCCCAGGCAGAAGTTTGTGGCTTCCAGTGGAAAGCTGGTTCCAGATGACCTTTGCTCTCTAACAGCCTCTTCTCAGAAGGGAGACCAAGACCAGCAATGTCTTTCAGCCTGACGGTCATAACCCAGCACGGAGTATGTGCCAGGCACAGTGCATACGTCACATCATTTAAACTGCACATATTTATCACCCTCCTCATTTTATAGATTAGGGAAACTGAGGTTCAGAGGGTTTAAGAAACTCACCTGAGATTTGAGCTCAGGTCTATCTGGCTCCAAAGTTCACATTTGTAACCACACTGGAAGCAGTACAGGCCAGCTACAGAGATAAGGGGGTTGCTCTCTCCCCACAAATTTGTGGCTTACTGTCCTTATTTTGTATGATTTATTTATTCTTTTGTATTATTTTTATTGTCCTGGCACCAATAGATAAGCTTAGAGAATTGATTTACCAGAAGTTTAGACTGAGTTGCCTGGGAAGATATTGGTATTAGTTCGAGGTCCTATGAGTCAAGAACAGGCCATTCATAAACTCCATTCACTTTCTAGTCTATTCGAACATCAAAACAGTCTGAGCTGAAGACAACCTCAAGGTCAATCTCAAAAATGTAGGTTGACAGGCCCCTGGCACGTTTGTCCTCACTGTGTCACCCTGCCAAGTTTCCTCATCCCAGCAGTGTATGCGTTCCTCCATCCATACCCCATCCGTTCATGCGCCATTTACACATACTGATTCACTGTTTATTGCGTCCCAAGCACTGGTGCAGACACTTGCTTATATGAGTAAACAAAGGAGACAGAAACCCCCAATGAAAAGGGCTCCCTGAATATTCAGAATCAAGCTGAGATTTAATACCAGATTCCAAGCCCAGGCAGAAAACAGAGGCAATTGCAAGAGGGAGGTTAGAACTTAGCAAAAGCAAAATCCCTCACCCCCAAACCTCTGATGTGGAGCTGCCCTGATGGTCCCCCCACCCCCCACCATGGCATCCCCATAAGCCTCTCTCCGGCATGTCAATTTAATTATAAAGGAGAAGAGAGTGTGGGGACTTGGGCAGCCAAATCCTATTTCCCTCAGCATCCTGGAGAGTCCTCAGTGAATTTCTGTCCCTAGCACACACTTATTTTGATATTAAAATTAAATCTATATTGGCTGTATTTTTGAAGGAAGCTGACTTTGCTGCGGCCAAGAAGCTTTGCACACTCGAAAGGGGTTTTTTAAGCTCTTCACCACATCCAGAAGATTCCACAGAAGGAGACATATGAAGGTGGGTGCTATGGGAGGACTTTTGGCCTGGAAATTGTGAGCTGCAGAGACCGTGGGGGCCAGGAGCAGAGATAAAGCTGCAGCAAATCAACATCTCCACACAAATTTCCCCTGAAACCTCATTTCTCCATCTGCGTCAGGTTACCCCCCGGGGCCCAGATGTTTTCGACTTCATGGTCACCTCTTTATGGTGACTGTGATTATACTTCGGAGTTTTCCAGGAAGTAAATAATGGATAAAGGAAAAATCTTCCATCTACTCCCATCCAAATTCAGAGGCACCTCCGGAGTAGTTGAGGCTGGTGATCTGAATCATCAGAAGTGCCTCCTGGGCGGGGTGGGGGTGGGGCGCCAGAGGAACAACAGGGCTGTGCCTACATTTGCTGCTCTGAGCACAGCCCAAACTGTCTGCGCCTCCTCTTTGGGAGGCTTCACCCCATTTCACTTCTCGGGCTAATTTGAGCCGACAGGGGGAAGGAGGCTCTAGGGACCTAAGCTCCTCCTCTGCTATTTCAAAACTCAGCTAACTTCTCCCACAATGACTTGCAGAATCGTGGCAAAGGATCGACCCTCTGACACCAGGTCCAGCCTGCAGGCTCGGCCACTGCTCCCAAGCCAGCATTTCCTTGGTGGCTAGAATAGGACTGGACTAGGACTTAATCTCTCCTCCTTGCACGTGCAACCCTGCAGGAACAGACTGAGGTTGGAGCCCTGGGGAAAAGCTCAAGGTCAAATGCACTTTGTTTTTGGTGACCTCGCTCCTTGGACTCAGTCTGCAGGGCTGCCGCAGGGCAGTGTGGTCCTACAACAGGTACACCCTCCAACTTGACTTAACTCCTGCAAGTTATATAAGCTAGACAGATTTTTTTTTTCCTTAATTTTTTCCTTCTGTTTATTCACATCTGTTTCTCTCCCTCCTCTAAGAGAAAGAATGATAGTAATAGCTAACACAGACAGAACACATATTACACGCCTGGCACAATTCTAAGCATTTATATGAATGAACTTCACTGGCCCTTAAAGCACCAACCCATGTAAGACTTTTTTTCAGATTTGAAACCAAAACATCTCACAGGAAGGAGGTGGCAGGAGTAGAATTCAAAGCCGGGCAATCTGCCTCCAGAAATGGTTTTCCTATTCTAAGAATACCAGCAATTCTGCCCCTTCTCTCCCAACATCTTTCCAAATCCCGATGTCTGGGCCACTGCACACCACGCAGGAGGGCGCGTGGGCAGGACAGGTACCTGAATAGCCTGTGATGTCCATGGCCTTGAGGTTCCGGCATTTGATGACGGTGAGCGTGAGCCTGCCTGCTGTGGGCAGGTAGCAGAGCGAGAACATGATCTCTCCCAAATCCACGCTTTCCTGCAAGAAGCAGACAAGAAGGCAGATGAAGGGCCCAGAGCCCCCTGCAGCTATGTGGGGCCACTCGGGGGGTTCTTGGCGGCAGCGTGCCATGTCCTCAAGACCCAAGGGTCTTGCCTCCGTGCTGGGAGTAACTGGGCATAAAGACACCCACACCAGTATTGCCTTTTCGGTAGAATCTGTCTTCTTCACTATTCCCTCTCAATTCTGCTCAGATTCTACTGAGTCCTTGCCATCCTGGGCCCTTGGCTGCAGCTTCCTTACCACCCTGTTCAGTCACTGGCCCCCGTGATTGGCCCCCTGCTTGCTCTGTGGTCATGACAGTGTCTTTACAGGACACACCCAGGTTATCAACTGCCCCCCTCCCAGAGACCTGCTTCCCGGCCTCAGCGCAGTCATTCTTTGTCAGCCCCTCTGCAGCATCCTCGCCCCTCTGGAACACCCCCGGCTCTCAACCTCAGGACATGCTGCCGACCCAGGAGGAGCATGCCAGCCATCATGTCCTTGTGCTGGGATATGCTCTGTTCTGCTCCTTCAAACACGAGCCAGCACTCAACACACACTTTGCAGCCTCTCCTGCCGCCAGAATCACCACTGTTGGGGATCCCTACCCCAGAGAGTTCCTGACAACAGGGAATAGGAGAACTGCGGAGGTGCCAAGCAAGCCTGCCTGTTTAATTATTTGATACCACGAAGCTTCCTCTTCCTGCTCGATGAGGGAGGATGCTGTTACTACAGACCCTCAGGCTCAGAGGCTGGCTGGTGCTGCTGAGGGCTGCAGGCCCTGGGCGGAGGGGAAGGCCAGGGTTTGCTCAAGGGGGGCCTCTGTTCGTTCATTCCTTCAGCGCATTCATTGAGCACCTGCTTTGCCAGGGGTTACTCTGGGTGCTGGGGATACACATAGACAAAAAGCCCTGCCCTCAGGGGGCTTGCATATTGCCAGAGCAAAGCACCAGAAAAAAGGTAAATAAGCAAGTTAGATAGTAAAATGTTGAACAAAGGTCAGGCAGGAAAAGGAGCCAGGACACTTTCATAGGGAGGTTGTAGTTAGAAGTTTAGACGGATAGGCCAGGGGAGGTGTCCCTGGGGGGGGTGGCTTCTGAGAAAGAGGGCGACACCAAGGTGTTTGTCCCTTCTTCTTACAAAGAACCAGGCTGTACGGAGGACTCCCTACCTGGAGAAAAATACAAGACCCCTCCCCGCACCGCACGTCTGGAGCATGTAGTCCCAATGCCCCCCTCGAGGTGTCGCTGGTACCCCCTCTGGCTCTGGAAGTGTCTTCTCTGTTAGCCCCTCTCCCATGCTCAGTCCCAGCCCAGAGCAGCAGGTGGGTCATGCCGCTCCCAGGAGAGTCTGACTGGGGCAGAGCGCACACCGCGCAGAAACAGCTACCCCTCCAGCACTCAGGAGCCTGTGGTTCCACAGAGTCAATGAGCCCCACTCCCCACAATCCATTTCTACCTCTGAGGCTCAGCAACTCTGCGAGGCAGGGTTTATCCCCCCAGTGCTCAGAGGCAGGACTCGGTGCTGGAGCGCATGGGCAGCACAGAGGCCCAGCCTAGCTCCAGCTCTCAGGAGCACTGCCCTTCTGGCCCATCAAAGGGGCATCTCCAGGTCACCCTGGACCTCTAGCCTCAGACCACAGGGTCATCCATTTGTTCATCTGCTCACCTGTGCAAGAGGCACCTCACTTTGAGGAGCATAGGCAGAGCCTTCAACATGCACACAGTCCAGTGGGGGTGCAGGTAGCCAGTTAAAAGAAGGTGCCAGGACCCCATCTCTCAGTGTCTGCTCTCTCCCTAGCCCCCGTGTGCAGGGAGGGAGACAGGAACGAGGCCTGGGCACAGCGTTGTCAGGGCGACGGGCCTGCACATGGCAGGGATGTAAGCACGCACCGGGCTGAGCGTCCCATCCTGGACACAGGCACCAAGGGCAGGAGGACCCCAGCTCCTTCCCCTCCCTTAGAAGCCTCCAAGCATCCATCCTGCCCAGCGCTCCAGAAAGCCTTTCAGACTTGGGAACACGGCAATGAGAACTGACACTACTGCGAGCCTCCCATGGGCCAAGTCCTTTGTAAAATTGTCTCCGTGAGTGTCCCCACCGCCCAGGAGCGCTCTCACCCTGCCCTGAGCACGCAGGAGAAATGCGCTTTGTGCAGGTGAATCACTTGTCTGAGGCTGCAAGAGCGAGCGGCGCCCTGGCCCAGACGCCCGTGGATCACTGGCGCGCCTCTCCCACCCTCGCTGGCTCTGGAGTCAAGGCCCATCCTCTGAGCTTGCTCCTGGGACCCATTGGGTCCTGTCTCACCTCCCGCCCTGGCCACCTCTCTCCATGCTGACCCTGTGCTCCATAGAGCAGGTACATTTTTGGTCCCTTTTGCCAAAATGCCACTTCCTCTTTGCTTGAATGCTCCGTAGAGCACAGGGCCACCTCCCCACACAACCCTCCCCCTACCCCGTTTCCAGCCTACAGAGAGCCACCCCCACCCCATGACCTGCCATCACTTTCTGCCCCAGAGCTGCTCACAGGCATTACCAGCCCCCAGGCCCTGAGCTGTGCTCTCACCAGCCGCAGTGACTAGAGGGCCCTTGGGGCAGGACAGTGACTGGAGGGCCCTTGGGGCAGGACTCTGCCTCACCCCTACTTGGGCTCAGAGGTGTCCAACAGCACATGAGGGGAGCCACATGCATGCCGAGGAAAGGGTGATTACATTTTCCCCAGAAGAACTCTGGAAGGGTGACTCTCAGCATCAGAGTTATGTCAAGTTCTGACTCTGAGATGGAAGCTGGGGGCCCCTCAGGCCCCTCTGGGCAGAAAGAGCAAAAGGCCCCCCCCGCCGGCAGCCCACGATGCAGAGCGGAGCTTTCAAAGGCAGTCGTGTTCGTGTGCAAGCCCAAGTTCCAGTGCTTGTGGACTTGGGAGACCTGCCTGGGGCCTGGGGGGATACTTCAGGGACTCCCAAGGCTGGCTCCCTCCAAGGCTCCCCTTCCAGCAGAGGCATAGTTCCTGATAGGACCAGGGCAGCTGGGGCAGGTCGGTGCTGGATCTGCAGCGTGCTGTGGAACTCCCACCCCACAGTGAACTTCACGCTGTATCAGTGGGTCCAAACAGCACAGGGAAGGGGCTAAGATCCTCCACGGCCTGGAGCCAGGAAGGAAGTGAGCCCAGTCCCGGGGCCTCCTGCTGAGCCACGCTAGGCCTGATGCGCTTTGACCGCTGCTGGCTCCGAGCATCAAGGAGGTTATTGCTCCCTGCACAGGCAACAGAGAACTGGGTTATTTGATAAAGGAGAATAAATAGGCTTATTCTGAGTAGTCGAGAGGCGGAAGCTAAGCAAACAGGCTTCTTTCAGCACCACCTCCCTCTCCCGAAAGCCAGACCCCACTGGCCCCACAGGCAGGCTGCCAGGTCCCCTCCCTGCTCCAGCCTCTTTCCCAGGAGATTTCAGCCCGGATCCTGTGTGCCCTCCCAGCCTTTTATCCTCATTAGGCAAGTTTGAGACTTTGGCTTTAATAAAACCAGGGGCGAGCAGGGGCTGCGGAACAGCTGCACGTTATTGCTTTCATCTTCACCCCCGTACAGGAGGTGCCTGGGGGCTCCAGCCGGTAATGAGCTCCCTGGTGCTGGGGAGGTCACTGCTGTCTAGAAAGCAGCAGAAACCAACTCACCCCCTCCACCCCTCACCTAGAGGCTGAGAGTGTGGTCCCAGCCAGTAGCAGCTCAGCTAAAAGTCCTGGCCTATCTGGCAGGGAGTGGCCTGCTGTCTGGGGAGGGGGAGCAGAGATGGTGGCTCCCAAAGAAATCTGTCCCAGAGTGTCCACCTGACCGTCGCTGCCCATAATAGTAGCGCCAGCTGCAGTACCCAGAAGCCGGGCAGAAGGTTCGTAAAGGCCCGTACCTGGCATTGCATTGCTCTCTGCCCTCACCACAACGGCCCACTAAAGCACTTCTCTCTCCTTGATGCACCCACAGAGCCCTAGACATGGCAAGCCAGCTCCTCTCTGAGGGCTGCCCAGGAAGAGCAGCGAGCCCCAAGTCAGGGGACCCTGGTTTTTGTCCCTCAGCCACTAAGTAGCCCGAGACTTTGGGCATTTCATGTCTCTCAGCTCCGTTCTGCCAGGTGGAGCGCTGCACCAGACGGTGGCTCCTGCCTGCCATAAGACTCAAGCTGGAAGGCCTGTCATCAGCCGTCACCAGCTGAGAGGACCCAGGGCACTTAACTGGTGTCCGCTGCCCGCCTCAAGATCTAGCAATTTGATTTAAAATCAGAAGATTTGAGCCCCACTGCTCCCCCCCACCAATGTTCTGCTCTTCTCCAAGGCCACCTTCTTCCTTCTAAATGGGCACCGAGTGGCATCGAGAACCCTGCGTCCATCCAGGAAATCCAGACTGAGCGAAGCAGGAACACCCTTCCCCACATCTCAGAGAGCACTTCCAATCTCCTCATCACTAAGTGGCTTGTCTGAATCTCTCAGCAGCAGCAGAGAAGCATCCGCTGTACTTTTAGGAAGGCCCCACGAGACCTAAAAGCATCTCTGAAGCACTGGGCAGGAAGTGCTGTTAAGTTGCCCTGGGCAGGGGCCTGCAAGAAGACCGGGTAGGTGCCAATTTGGCTCCAATGGGTAAAGAAACATCAGGTGAGCAAGTTTTCTCTGTAGGTCTGGGGCCTGGGGTTGGAGCTAGAGATGAGTCAGATGTGGACATTGGACACTCGGGGCTGGGCTGACCCCCTTAGCTTCTGCCCCATTGGACCACAGAGCTTCTCACAGCCCAAGCCAGGACCATAACTCACCACTTTCATTGACTGTGGGGATTATGATAAACTGTGTTCTCATTAGATCCTGGCCCTGGGAGCAGGATGGGAGCTGGTTTTACTCATTCTACCTCTCACACCCCGCCCAGGGACAGATGGATAGAAAGTGCTCAGTAAATTCTAGCTGATGAATGAATGGTTGAGAATACAGACGTGGGGGCCAAGGCCCAGCTCTGATATTTACAGG